GTTGGGGCCAGACTAGGGGCCAAAGGTGGGGTCTCTGGAGTGGACGCACCAGCGCACTGAGATGGCAGCTCCTCAGTGTCCACAGTGGGTGTTGGAAGGGGTTGTGGCATAGCCCGTGGAGATGGTTCGAGGCTGTTCTCTGTGACTTTAGAATGACAATTCTGCAGCCTTGTATAACCAGGCCGTCAGCCTCTGATAGCTCGTTTTTCACTTTCATGTACGCTTTAATGTTCAATGGCACACTAGCTCCGAATGGAGGCGTAGGTTCGGATCCCACTTCTGACACCATGTAGAATGACCACTCTGTAGCTTTCTTGTGATGCTCTTTATTGAACATGTATCCAGCATGGGTTATAACAGCACAACAACGGGTGTGGCAGCTAAGAGAAGAACGGCACATCGACAGCCCTGCCGCAAAGCATGTCATGGTGGTGTAAAGCCGCAACACCCACCTGCTCGACACAGGCAACCCAGTATGTGACACTTTAGACAATTACAGTGGTAGAACATCAAACTGTCTCTGTGAACTCACTAATATAGAGGAGCTGTGGTGTACTGTTGTTACAAGAGATTGTCTTCAGTTTAGAAGAAGCCAAAGACAAAGGCTACTCCAGCATGCGGTGAGCTAAGCTAGCTCTGCTCTCTTAACCGTAACACGCTTCAAAGAGAAAAAACAAACAAATACAGATCCCACCAAGACAAACTGTTGGTCGGGTTTTACCCTTATTTGGCATCTTAATCATGTGGACCACATGTGTTGCCTTATTATTTACTAACCTGAAAAAAACAGGTGGACTACAGGTAGTGTGTTTTTCTCCCTCGCTTCTGCCAGATCTGAAGACGAGCAGTAGCTCACACTAAACCGTCTCACTAGGGTGGAGGTGCCCCCTTGTGGCGCAACTTGGGATCGCACAACATGTTGACTCTCCATACAAAATCACCAAATTAAGGGCGTCCTTTAAGAAAAATACACCTGGAAACTTTTACAATACACAAAATTTAAATCACATAATAACGCTACCACACATTACGGTGTATCACATACTGTCTTAAAATGCAGATAAGGAGTTTTCTTGTCTCTCCCCTTTGCTCTCTCCCTCCCTCTCTATAGACAGTGGCGTGTTTTTTGTGTGTTTCTAAATCTGTTGCACTTTTGTTGCAGTGAAGACAAACAAGAAGTAAGTGAGAGTGCAGGGTAGAAGTGTGATCGCGGTGTTTCCAGATTTAAAGCAGTACAATAAAAGCTCAAGCAGCTTTTCCTACTCATTGACAACTGCAGAAATATAGGTGAGTCCTGCTTGTTTACATCCTCCACTTTTTTCTTCTACTGATTTCATGTTTACCTTAAAATATGCATATATAAAAGATACTTTACCAGCTCTGACACGCTAGAAGAGAAACACTATGTTCCTTCGATACAGCTATCACAGCAGCACAGCTGGTTTCTGGCAGTGTTCAAGATGCACAACCTACAGCTCTATAACATTTTTTTATTAACTAAGAGCTGCTAACTAGCCTGCAAATCAACCTTAAACTCATTTTTTTGCATTTATTATGAACAATCTGTGAGTAACACAACATTATATTTAAAAGTGTTGTATATTCAGTAATGCAATATATTTGGTCATTTTCCCTCTGCATACAGGGATTTCTTCTCTGCATTTATACACGACACACATACTGTGGCCCTTGTTAACGATTTTCTCCAGTTGCTATTGCAGATGACAGCTTTAATGTATGTACTGAGGCGTATGGTGACCCAATTTCGGCTTTTCAATCGGATTTTAGAAAAGCCAGATAGTAAGGAGAGTAACAAATGTAGAAACATTGATCAGATTAGAGAAGGAAGTCAAACAGTTGATACTTTAATGTGCGAGTTATGATGGGGGGGGGGG